GCAGCCATAGACAACATCTAAACAAATGGGTATGGCATGTTCAACAACACTTTATTTACAAAACTTTCAATGGTCAAATTTGGTGTAAGAGCCATTTCTGACTCCTGATCTAAATTCACATGGTGTAGGACATCTCATATATCATAGCTGGATTACAATTCCACCTATTATTTCTCTCCAGCATCCAGAAGTAGAAAAGTGTCACAGCAGTATGGTCATGAATATGAATTATGGAACTTTTCAAAGTGAGGGTGAAATGATCTGCAAAGAAAAGGAAATATTTCTTTCTGCATTGGATCTGTGACTTCTTTTGTAGGTCATTCTATGAGTATTATAAACAGAATGAAACAAACAGATACATGAGGCTATGACAGGATCATTTCATAGCATCATTCAAAGGTGAGAACAGATGCTCGTGTCTCTTTGTAATGAATAAAGAAAGAAAACTTAATATTTAAGCTTGAACAATTTAGAAATAATTGTCATGAAGTTACATGGTGAATTTGAATTTCAATCATCCCTCAGTGATTTCATACACAACTCTCAGAGGGAGTTAATTCTATGGCAGTATAATTCCAAGAACCAGTTCCATGTACCATGGATTTAGTGGTTACAAGTAGATCACAGTGAATCTTAGGCAGTCCAAAAATTTAGAGAAAGCATAATTTTCTTTTAAAAAAATGTTATTGTTGAAAGTAATACATACATCCCCCTTTTTCCACCATTGACCCCTTCTTGTCCTTCCCCCTTCCCCCACCCCAGGCCTTCACCACCCTATTGTCTGTGTCCATGGTTATGCATATATGCATACAAGTTTTTTGGTTCATCTCTTCCCTATCCCCCCACCTACCCACCTTCCCTCTGAGATTTAGCAGTCTGTTTCATGCGGAGAAACTATAATTTTTAAAAACAAGCTTTCAGTAGTTCTACCTTGTCAAGGTCTCTTCAGAAACAACTTTGAGGTAAGGAAATGAAAGACTCTAGATTCAGGTGATTAAGGCCCATTCACTTGGTGAAAGAAGTTGCCCCTCTTGAGTTACCCAGAACAAATCCATGAGAACTGAAGAATATGGAGTGTATAGAACACTTGTGGTATTTTCTTGTCCATTATAACTCTGAATGGATCTGTGCAGTAATATTCCATTGAAAATATTACTATTTAGAGTTCAAACCCATAAGGATCAAGGGTTGAGTCATATCTCCAGAAAAGTCATCAAATCTTCTGATATAATAGCTAAGGGTGAAGGATAGTTATAATGGACAGTGGAGGACAGAGGGGATAAGTACAAGTTGAGACCCAGCAATGAATAACAGCGATGGAGGCTGAGATTTATGTCCCTATTATCCTTAACTGAGTTGGCCTTTACGAAATAGAATCCATGAGAATCAAGGAGGAGCTGCTCTTCAAACCTCTGGGAAGTAAATCTCCATGACACAAAGGGCAATTTAGTGGGCCATGAAACTGTGACTGTAACTAATCAGGGCCCTAGGTGATAACCTCTGAGGCCCATCACTGCATTTGTGACCATCTTTGCATTTGAGATACATGTCTGCCTATGTGCTGAGGCTGCACTCTCCACAGCTCCTGCTCAGTGATTGCTTGTAGCAAGTAAGGCCAACACTTTTCCACGAGACGCAGGATTCCTCAGTTTGCTGATTTTGTGGGAAGTACTCCACTATGACTTTGCTGAACCTCTTCTAGACTCCACAACAGCCTAGAATGCACCTCTCTAAATGCTTTCACTCTGGATAAGCCTGAGATTCATCCTACTACTAGGAGCCAGTGCGTGATTCAAAAATATGCAGTGCTACCCACCCTCGAGTCAATGGTCCAATCCTGCCTTGCTCCCTGGGCCCTGCAGCAGCCGTGGCCGCTATTGGTCCAACCCTATCTCCCTCTCCAGCCCTTGATGCAGCCACGGCTGCTGCTGATCAGGCCCTCCCACAGTGCAGGTACAGGAAGGCCCCTGCCACCCTGTCCCTGTGCGCAACCTCCTCCTGTCCGGTCATGATGGCATCCCGCTTAATTAGCATATTTCTCTATTTATATATTATATTATCCTTTAATGAGTTTTTCTTTAGGAAGCAGAACCCATGAAAATCAAGGAGGAGCTGCTCTTCAAACCTCAGTGAAGTAAATCTCCATGACACAAGCGAAGATTTAGTGGGCCATGAAACTGTGACTGTAACTAATGAAGGGCCCCAGCTGGCTCCATAGTCTAATGGTTCTCCTAACCTTTCCTGACTCTCTCCCTTTTTTCCCTCCTACAAGCATTTCCAATAATTAACTCCCAGCACATTTAGTTCTGTGTAGGCATTATTTCTTGCACACATGGACTATACACACTTTACTAGTTCAGTAAGTACTCTAAGTATAATTTTATTATCTTTATTTATATATTAGAGGTCTGGTGCATGAAATTCATGCACAGGTAGGGTCCTTAGGCTGGGCTAGCAATCAGGGCCAACAGGGGTCTTCTTGCTGCTGGCCAGGTCCTCCATTCCCTGGCTGCTGCTGGCTGAAGCCTTTTTTCATTCCGCACCACCTCCTAGTGTTCAGCACTTGTCATACAGAGCGATTGGTTTCCTGGTTGAATTCTCTTGGGGATAATTTGCATATTAGGCTTTTATATTATACTAGGGGCCCAATGCATGAACATTTGTGCAAGAATAGGCCTTCCTTCTTCTGGCTGCCGGCACCACCTTTGCTCCAGCTGGAGCCTTTTTTCTGCCTTCCCAAGGAGCCTGGAGCAGCTGGGGCAGTGTGCAATGCCTGTGTCCTCGCCATGGCAACAATGCAAGCATCCCTCCCTGCCCCTGGTCACTCAGTGCCTGTGCATGCAAATTAACTTTCCATTTTTTTGTTTAATTTGCATACTCATTTCCGAATGGCTGGTAGGCATCATGAAGGTATGGTCATTTTGCAACTTCTTCTTTTATTAGTGTAGATAGATTGCAAAAACAGTTAAGGAACATTTTAAAAATAAATAAATAAAGCATTTTTTTATACATAAAAATGAAAGTTATAGCATAGTTAACAATACTTTCTGACAAGCTAATATTCACTGTGTCCTCATGATGATAAACCCAAATTAGTAGCATACATTAATATATCTTAATTGAAGTGGATATAGTTATTACTTATAATTTCAGTGCAAAGGGGTTGTGGAACTGAAAAATAGTCAAACTATTTTTGGGTCTAAAGTTATCTCAATAAAAGATATAAACATGGATTGGCAAATTTCACCAGTTTTTTCATTGCTATGTTGGAAGAACAGATTCTCAGAGATCCTTATCCTATTATTTTAGTTGGTGTTACCTTCTAGTTTTTCTTATTTATTTATTTATTTATTTATTTATTTATTTATTTATTTATTTATTTCAGAGAGACATTGGTTTGCTGTTCCACTTACTTATGCTTTCATTGGTTGATTCTTATATGTGACCAGTTTAGGGATTGAACCCACAACCTTGGGGATGATGCTCTAACCAATTGAGATACCTAGCCAGATCATCTAGGTTAATACTTGAATTTTGTGGGTCTGCCCCCCCCCCCAAAAAAAAAATGCCATAAACTTATAGCAAATTTCTACTTAACAAATTTTAGTGCTCAATAAATATTTAGTGAGTAAATGGCACATAGTGATATACTGCAGTAGTCTACCTCTTATCAAATGATGCTGAATTCTCTCTCTTTTTTTCTTTTTCTTTTCCACAAAGAAAGCATAGTTAAATCAAGATCCTCACATTCTAATTAAGCTCCAAGTTTCCGTTTGTTTTTGTAATTTGAAATACTTTTTTTTGTAAAGGATAACAATTGGTTAGACAAGTAAGTTCATCTCTCTTGATTTCACTTCCTTCACTTATAACATGAATGGATTTGATTAGAATCTCTAAAGAAGCCTCACATTCTTTACTAAACTACAACATAGATTCTATAACTCTGTAGTTTAGTTTTCTGATGTTTTATAGCATGAATAAATCAGGTGTCTTAGAGTAATATGTGGCCCCTTTACATTATTAGCATTCAGGGTCTTGTTGGAAATGCAAAATCTTAGATTCTATTCTAGTACTACTAAATAGGAAATGCTGGATGAGGGGTCTTGCAATCTCTTTTTAACAAGCCCTCTAGTGGCTAGTGATGTAGCTAATGTTTAAGAACCACTGTCCTAAAAATTATCTTGACTGTAGTAGAAGATAATTAATTGTTCTCTAACTACATCATCAGTTTCTGGACATTGTGCAAGACTTGAAGCTCTTCTGCATCTATATGAAATAATAGACTGCAACATGCAAATTGGATCAGAAATCACTTCCATTTCCACAAATAGAATTAAAACATTAGATGTAGAATTTTAAAAACAGATAATTTATTATATGAAATTTATGTCATACTTAAAAACCTACTGCATAAAGTATTTTCTATATTCATTAGTGAATCCAGAATTTGCTGATCATATCACATTTAAACCATTACATATTATCTGAATTAAAATAAATCATTCAACTTTCCTGGTTCTCATTGTTTTCAACTGTAAATAAAAGTGATCTCAATGGAAACTCTTATAAAATAAAATCTTATATTACTGATTTAGATATTCATTAATTTAATACTATGAGCATCAAAATATTTACCATTATATATAGCATATACCAGAGAATTGTATTTCTGCAACATTTTTACTGTGATGTTTTAGCAATCCAAACCCATATTCTTCAAAAACCCCTTAAAGATTGTTTTCATGAGAATATATTAAAGTAACATAATTAATTGTTACTTTAATGAGAAAACATAACAATAATTTTTTGTGTGACCATGTTCTTTGAACATGGCACAATTCAACCAAGCGTGCAAATGTTCTTGCTATTGATAAGCCTCAGTAGTTAGATCACTTCCCAGGAACATCTATAAATAAAAAAGGGTTCTGTTTCCTTATTTGAAAAACCTAACTTGAAAAAAGAAGATCTGTTGACACTTTTTTCCTAAGACATTCCCTACCATGAAGATTCATCTCTTTTTCTTTATTCTTCTCTTTTGGGTCACAATTTTACCAGGTAACATGAAAGGTTTATGGGTATATTTATGCGAATGAATTTGAGAAGACATCCACTATTTCTGGTTAAATGTGTGGTAATAAAATAGGATTGAAAGTAATTTTTATACCAAAAGCATTCTGATACTCTAGATTGAACCCAAGAACAGAAAAGAAGGTGGGTAATGATGGGAAAATAGGTGAAACATAAATGAAGACTATAGTTTAGTTAACTAAGTATTATACCAATAATAACTTCTTAGTTTTGATAAGTAAGGCATAGTTACATGAGATATTATCATGGGGGAAGTTGGCCTCTATCATTTTGTAACTCTTCTATAATTCTAAAATGATTTCAAGATGAAAAATTTAAAAATATATAAGATCAATACATTAGTCTTATCACTTCCATCTGCAATAATCAGTTAAAATCTGTTCTTGCTGGGAAAATAGTCTTTAACATAATCAATCAACTGTAACGAGTAAATGGCTTATTTTAGGGAACAATCTATTTATCTTTGTCTTCTTTTAAGCTTGAGGTAGTATAGTACTTCCAATTAGTAGAAAGCCATCAATCTATCTTTGTCTTCTTTTAAGCCTAAAATAGTATAGTAATTCCAATTAGTAGAAAGCCTTCCTTAATATTCTGTTCTTTATACTATCAGCAAATCATGCCCCTTCTTAACTTTTCAATATTTTTGGTCAAAACTCATGTCTTTGAGTGCTACTGATCACATGAATGTTGAGTGTAATACTTTGCAAATGAGCTCATTTTTCATGAGAACTTTTTCCCCCTCTCCAGGACTATATCCTCACATCAGGTATGTAACATAATCTTCTAGATTAATGTGTGAGTATTAAATGTACAGAAATAGAAAAATAAGTTTTGGTGATGGAAACAACATTGAGTTTATCATCTTCTTAAAGAGCTTAGGATAAAAGGTCTTATGCAAGTCTACTCAATTTTTGATACCAGAACTGAAATCAGGCTCAAATTCACAAACTATAAGAATAGTTCTTTTTAGCACCTGTATTATTTTCTTATGTCCAACAGAGATAATAACTGAGGTCTAGAAGACTAAGTTAACTTATCTTTCATTATGAATATTAAAGAGTCCATCAGGACAATAAAAAAATTACACATAATTAACCATTGAAAGATTGAAGTGGATACAATTCTAAATAGGGGCATCTGCTAACAAAAATGATTTCAATGGAAACTTCTAGCTATAAAATCCTATATTATTCATTCAGACATTCATTAATTTAATACTATGAGCATTAAAATGTTTAGCATTATATCTAATATAATAGATATATTTCTACAACATTTTTATTGTTGGGCAAGCATCAATAAAGTAACAAAGTAATGCTATTGTTTATTTAGGTAAGAAAAGAAAATAATTGTTAGAAAAAGATCTCTGGATTTTTTTTTTTTAGCTCTAGAAAGAGCCAAAATAAAATTCTATTCTTATGTGATAAATATTTTTCTCTTAATTCCAATAGTAGCTAATATGAATAAATTACTATGCCAGATGTTTTTGTATTTTATTAACTTATTTTTCCTTGTAGCAGCTACATCAGGTGGGGTCCCTTCTCATAACTGAAGTTATTAATGTATTTTTCAAATTAAAAAAAAATGTGACCTGTTGACTTAGAAAGTATAAACCACTTGGGGACTAAATCAACACAGATTAGAACATCAATGTTTAGTATTTGCTTGTTTTTTATTATATTACAAAATGAGGTCATTGTCCTTATTAATTACATATATACAAAACTTTTAGAGGATACTTACTTTTACTGACAAAAAAATCAAAGTGAAAGAAATATGTCAAGATAAATATTTTCTTTCACAAAATTAAAAGAGATGTGATGTCAGGACCGGTTTGGCTCAGTGGGTAGAGCGTCTGCCTGCGGACTGAAAGGTCCCAGGTTCGATTCCGGTCAGGGGCATGTGTCTTGGTTGCGGGCACATCCCCACTCGGGGGTGTGCAAGAGGCAGCTGATCGATGATTCTCTCTCATCGATGTTTCTAACTCTCTGTCCCTCTCAATTCCTCTCTGTGTAAAATCAATAAAATATATTTAAAGAATAAATAAATAAAAAATAAAAGAGATGTGATATAAAATATCGACATTTTAGAAAATAATAAAAACAGTAAAAATCTTGTCTTTCATTTTATAATTGCTTCACCAACATATGGTAGTTTAACTAAACTGAATAAAATTAAATGACATTTATATGACAATCATTCAGAGTTGTGTGTGTTTTTTAATACCTCATCTTTAAATGGTGAAAATTCTTACTCAAAATTGAGATAGAAAACCTTATCCCCAGTTAGAAAAATTACAGATGAAAAAATGTCCAGATAAATGTTCTTACATTATTCAAGGAAATTTCCAGTAAAGTCACTTAGTTTTCCCCTTTATTTTCTAAAATTTATAAATGCACTGACTGTCTAGAAATGAAGTGTTATTTTATTCTCACTTATTGTTTTACTTCATCTGCCAAATTGAAAAAAAAAAGTACTATTGTCAATAATTATTTTTTTATTTGGTATGTATTTTGATCATAAGATAGATAGTATAGGTGCTGAAAGTGTAGTCATGATTTTCCCCATTTCCAAGGAGGTGAACGGTAGCCTAAGGAATAAAATAGCAATTAGAAAAAATAAGAAGTCATGAGTTGAAAATATTTTAGGAATAATCTAGCTCATTTCTAGCTTATATATTAAGTAGGACTTCATATATTGTTCTAAAGAATTCTTCTACCATGCAATATGAATATTACTTGTGAGAGAAATAAAAAGAGAGATCACTTTCTTGAAAATGATCAGTAGAGACTTCAGAGAGAAGATTGTATTTGAACAATGTATCTGAGGGTAGAGACAATGTATGTTTGGCTTATCACAGAACCAGGAGAACAGTGGTTTTCAATAGAGGTCAATTTTGTATTGTCTGGCAATGTCTGGAAATCATTTAGGTTGACACAACTGGTACCACTGGCATCTAGTGATAGAGGCCAGAGATATAGCTAAACATCCTTCAGTGAACAGGATAGCATCCCACATCAAATAATTGCTCCCAAAGGTTGACAGTGCCCAGGGTGAGAACCCCTACTGTAGAGACTGGCAAAGAGCTTAACAAGGAGTATACACAGGCTTGAACTACGTGGGTCCACTTACTAATAACTTTTTTTCAACTAATACGATACATGCATTTTCTCATCCTTATGGTCTTCTTAATAACACTTCTTTCACTCTAGCTTACTCTATTGAAAGAATATAGCATATAATACACATAACATCCAAACTACGAGTTAATTAATTGTTTATGTTATTGGTAAGGCTTCAGTAGGCTATTAGTAGTTAAGTTTTGGGGGAATCAAAAGTTATAATTGGCTTTTGGATTTGTAGGAGGCTGGTGCCTCTGAGACCTGCTTTCTTTAAAGGGTCAACTGTACTTAATAGTTGAATGAGTGGATGGATGTTTGCAAAGATGAATATTAGTGATCCAAAGACACAAGTTTGAGGACTACCCATATGAGAAGAAATAAAACAACAGTTTTATAAAGGTGAACTAAGATAAAGAACTAATAAGGGAAGAGATGAGGTCAATTGGACAATAGTGACTACTGAATAAAAGTGTGAAATGTGACAGATCTCTGTCTAAAGTGAGTATAATTCAGATTTCTTTCATTAGCAAATCATTTATGGGTTTAACAATAACTCCTCAGAAATAGTAGACTAGATAATGATATTTAGAAGTTAAGATTTAATCTGTGTAGAGTAACTATATTTTTTCTGCTATAAGCCATATACTGCATAGTGAGAGCTAATTTTAATGGAAGAGCTAGATTTTATATCAGCTTCTTATAACAACAATATGGATAATGTCTATGTATTCATTAATAAGTATCATTACTCACCACCAACTGTTGAAAATGCAGACAGAATATCTAGCAAGAAAGACTTGGCCCTTAAAGGCATTGATTGGGACACAAAGCTGTAATTAATGGCAGAAAGTAGTGATAAATTTTATTTTATTTTATTTTATACCAGAAATATACAAAAATAGTTGAATCTGGTCTTTGGTCAGATATATGCAAAATTTAGAATTCTCCCATACCAGTTGTCCTTAATCTCACCATATTAGTAAGAACATTACTTATAAAAACTGATGGGTGCACTAAAGAAAAAGACTCTAAAACAGAGGGATTCTGAAAACACATGGGCCAACATATAATGTGAAATATAAAATTAAAATACATTTGGCTTGGAGTGCATCTTATAGCCTATCAGACCAACATCCCCTGATTTTCTGAGTATATTCCACTATTTATATAATATATAGGTGATATGCAAATTGACCATCAGTCCAACACACAAGATGGCTGCCCCTATGTGGACACAAGTTGGTCGCCACAAGATGGCCAGCAGGGAAGGGCAGTTGGGAGGGACCAGGCCTGCAAGGGAGGGCAGTTGGGGGCAATCAGGCCCACAGGAGAGGGCAGTTAGGGGGAACCAAGCCCAAAGGGGAGGGAAGTTGGGAGGGACCAAGCCTGCAGGGAAGGACAGTTAGGGGCAATTAGGCCATCAGAGGAGCAGTTAAGCATCAATAAGGCTGGCAGGGGAACAGTTAAGGAGTGATCAGGCAGGCAGGCAGGTGAGCAGTTGGGAGCCAGCAGTCCTGTATTATGAGAGGGATCTCAGATTGGAGAGGGTGCAGGCTGGGCTGAGGGACAGCCCGCCCCCCCCACCATGCATGATTTTTGTGCACCAGGCCTCTAGTTTTAAATGATAAATTTCTAATGAGTGTCAATGTACAAGCTACAAGATAAACATGTATGTTGGAGCCTGGTAATTTTAGAAATCATGTCATGGCCAACAATGGCCACAGATTTCAGACATTCCAATTAAAAATAAATCAATGCTGTCATCAGACATGTGTCTAAGGTAGATCATTTCTTCAAAGAAGCAAAACTGGTAATACCCAGAGGAGTTGTAGGAAGTCAGACAAA